TATCTATCTATCTATCTATCTATCTATCTATCTATCTATCTATCTATCTATCTATCTATCGGCAGACTGTGTCTGCTGCCTGGGCTTGGAACTCAGAGTCCTTTCTTCCCAGGCCTCTCAGACACTGGACTTAGACACCTATCACCATACCCAGGTCACATCCTCTACCGCCATTTTGTACAACTGCCTTTAAGGCTGCACTGGACTTAATTCTAGCCCTTTACAGTTCACATTTGGTATTTCAGTTTCCTCCTTTCTGGTGTCAGATCCTTGTCTTGTGACCATCCAAGAACTGTTTTCCTCTCATCGTTGAGTTCTCTCCTTTTCCTGCCTGTTGCTCTGAGGAAGTTGTTTTCAACTTTTTTTTTTGTTTGTTTTGTTTTGTTTTTTGTTTTTTTTTTTATTTTTATTTTTCCCAAAACTCTTCTGTAACTCATGTTATTTTTGGAGAAGGATGTTTGTGGTTTTGGCTTCCTGCATGCATTGTATTGATCTGTTTGGCCTCCAGGGACATGGATAGCACATTGGATAAAAGAGAAACTGCCATTAATTTCCTTCCATTCAACAGACTTAGAATCACCTGTCGTTTCCTTCTCCCATATGTCTGTGTAGACTGTGGAACTGTAAGCATTGCTGGAGAGTGCAGAGCAGATTCCATCTGCTTTATGCTTTTAGCAATGAAGAATGATTTTTAATCAACTGTTGTTTTTATTTCAGTTATTTTATGGGTGTTGTGCTTCTGTGTGTGTCTGTACTGTATGAATGTAGTACCAGACCAGACGAGGCCAGAAGGGGACATCAAATCCCTTGAACTGGAGATACAGATGGCTATGAGCTATCATATGGTTATGGGAATTGAACCTGGGTCCTCTGGAAGAGCAGCCATTGCTGGTAACCACTGAGCCATCTCTCCAGCCCCTGGAGAGTGATCTGTTTAATGCCATGTTACCTTTGACACAGGAAAGAGAAATCTCAACTTTCTTTGCTCTTGTCTTGTAAACCTGCCATGTGTCTTGACTGACAGATAGCAGCATGTCTACCAGAAAGATGGTTTGAGAACTCTGCTATGAGGACATCAATTCCCCAACTCGAAAACTTCATTCAGTTTTTATTGCAGTCTGCACGTAAATTATCCACAAGTGAATTCAGGTAATGCTCACTTAATTTTTCACCTCCAAAGCATTGTGCAAGGATTTTTAATGTTGTAAGCAATTTTAAGGAAGTTTTGTACATTTACTATAATTTTTAAAATCTGGGTCTTGGGATATAGCCAGTCTGGCAGAGTATTTGCCTAGCAACAAAAGGCCCTGGGTTCAATCCAAGTACTCATAAGCCAGGCATTGTGGCACACGCCTGGAATCCTTCTGTAGTGTCGAGGAAGTTTTGATGTGACAGTTCCCATTAGCTGGCAGCATAGTGGCCACTGTGGAGACCCTGATGATGGGCTTGCTCTGTGTTGTGCTTTTCACTGCCATCCACATACAAATTTTCCAGAATATTGTGTATTGGATTTACAATCATGAGGTGTATGGAACTGTAGTCATTCTAAAAAAGACATCACTGGCAGTTTTATGTCTGTGCCAGTATTTCAGTGTGCTTATATAAATGATACAGGCTGCTACCGATAGGCTATTATGTACATGTATGTGTAATTAATACAAAAATATATAATGTGGTCGCAGTATTGTGAAGTGTGCACAGCTGCATGTGCTTTTATGAACTGTCAGCACGTTTGTTCATAGCAGGAGCAAAATAGCATATAATGTTTCATTGTGCCATGCTAGCCAGTGTCACTGTGCCTTAGGGACTGACCAACACTTGGCCTTTAACTGAAGCATCACTGCATATGATGAGGTATAAAAGGGACAGCATCTCTGTATTGTATGTGGCTCTAGATACTGGCTTAGGTCCTCAGTCACCATAGTTACTCCCTTCTGGCATGTTACAGTACTTTATTATCAGTACTGCTTTCTCTTTCCTTTCATTTTGTTTCATCTTGTTTTGTGCTAAGGATCAAATTTAGGGCCCACTGCCTGCTAAAGACTTTACCACTCATGTGCCTCTAGCCTAGCTGCTAAGGGGTGAGTAAATGCTTTTGGTTGGTTTTTAGGAATGAAGTCAATGAAATAATTCTTCTCCTGGTGAAGATAAAAGCTCTGAATCAAGCCGAATCCCTCAGAGAAGAGCATCACCTGGAGCCCCTCCCAGCCCAGACTTCAAGAGTTTGAGTGCGCTATATGGGAGGTGCGTAATGAAAGGACGCAGCGCCTTTCCTTGTACAGCTGATGATGCCTCGTTCCCTCTGTGCCCACCTTGTGTGTGGAGAGGCTTCCTGGTGCTGTGTGTCTGAGGGAAATACATCCACAGCAGCTGGAGCTCAGTGTGCTTCTGTCATCCTTCCCCAATCTGAGAAGGAAACGAAGAAAGCTGACACAGAAAGACGCACTCCCAAGTCAAAACCATCTTCAACAAACTCCAGCTGTTTACAAATCAGCAAAGGAGGAAACCTTTATTAAATGTTAACAATTTTTATACAAATTATCCTTCCAGAATCTGTACTGATTTATTGTATGAACTCAGTGCAAGAGAGTGCCAGTGTGTCTCCAGATTTTAATTCATTGTCAATTTGTTAAGAAAAAAAATTTTTTTCAAAAGATTTATTTTTATATGTGTGGTCATGTATATACCTGGGTGGGTTTAGCACTACCTCCATGTAGGGGCTGGAAGGCATCAGATCCTCTGGAACTGGAGTCCAGGAGGCTGTGGGCCACCTGATGTGCTGGGGACCAAACCCAGGTCCTCAGAAGAGATCTTAACCACTGAGCTGTTCTCCAGTCCCTGTTGAGGAATAAAGATGTGTTGGTTTAATAATAATTAATAATTTAATAATTCTTTTTGAAATGTCCCTCTTTTTCTACAGGAATATTGATCTTTTGCCTGTGCTCTGACAAATAGCTTTTCAGAAAACTTATCTTTTAATTTTGTGTAAGATTTCTCTGGTAACGGAGTTATCAGCTGGTAGCAAGCGAGGCTTTTCCTGTGTTCTGTGTGGTTAGTAGTGGGCCTAAGAAGGCCATTGCTACTTTAAATACAGAAATGTAAAGAATTTGTCTAAGGTAGTGCGGTAATTAAGAAATTATGAATTTTTCTCAATGATTTTATTAGTGTTTTTAAGTATATTGTTAAGTAACTCAATGATGACCCTATATTTATTTTCTCCATGTTGTCATTTTAGACATTTGCTCATTACAGAAGCATGTGTACAGAAAGTTTTGTATATAAATGGTAGAGACTTTATTACATATACAATTTCTAAATTTTTTAATGTAAAAGTACACTTCTGGAAACTATTCTCTGGCTTTGGATTCTTAGAGATGGACATGTGAATGGATATGCCCTCGTTCATCTAAGCTCGGCAGACAATCTGTATTTCATGGGATGCAAAACAGTAAGCTATCGCTTTTAAATTCTATTATGCCTGGAATGAGAACTTCCAAGCTTCTTTGAAACATATTGTGGTGCTAACTCTGCTGCCATTTCAAAGTTGTTACTCCTGCCTCCTAGTCCTTCAAACCAGAGGAACTGACACAGCAAATGCACACACTCATCTGGTGATTCCTTTCACAGACCCAGTGAGCTGCATACCAGCTGGGGATACATGAGACCATGACAAAAAACTTAATACCTAGAAACAAAAAACTGTCATTCTCTCTCTCTGATGGTTCTTTTGTCTTATTCTTTTGTGGAGACTGGGTCTCATTCTGCAGTGTAAGTGGCATTGATCCTGAAACCCTCCTACCTCTGCCTCCCAAGCCTTAGGATTTCCACACCTGGCAAAGAAAACTTAAAAGGCTTAAATGGAGATAGATGTGAATTAGAAAACTAATTTTAGGTAAAGTCTTACTCTCCTTAAACTGACACATGAAGTTAATGTCAACACTGAAACAGGGTCAGGGAAATAAAACATATAGGAGAACAACCTAGGACCATGTTACTCTGGGGGGGATCCCCAGACCAGTATTAAAAAGAAACAAGATGCCTGAATGAGCCTTAGTTCCATCTCAGCTTTTTATCCACCCGAACAGACAAGTTACTGATCTAACAGACTCCAAAACACTCACAGGAAAATCAGAGAAGACCTGGGTCTCAGAGGCAGAGGCTGGAGACACTCAGTGGAGTTTGCCTGGCAGCACTCATACCAGGTGGCTCACCACCACCTGTAACTCCAGCTCCAGGGGCTCTGATGCAGTCACACCAGCATACACTTAAATAAAAAAGGTACCCAGTATCTAAACTCCAAATAATGGTTCCAGGAAGACAGAAGCAGAGGAGAGAGAATGAGCAACAAGAGCCAAGTCTCCCAAACAGGAGTCACAGCACTGAGACACTTGCCCAAAGCCCTAAACTATGGATATAGATGTACCTGTATCTGCACCAAGACCCAACACTGAGATTCACTGCTATGAAGACTAAAAGGACCTGCATGCCCTCAAGTCACACCTAAGGAGCAGAAACCCAAATGACTCTGGGTTTCTAAACGCAGCACTAAAACTCTAGTCAAGTAGATTCTGTAACGTGGAAATTAGAGCAGAGCGACAGTGTAGGCTAGACAATCTCAAGAATAAATGGGCCACATGATGAAAGGACTCATGAGCCTGGTCATGGAGGTCCACACACATGCACATCTCTGGAAGCTAGAATAATTCAATGCTATCTAAAGGAGTTAGCAGCCAGGAAAATGAAGACAGAATGCAGAGAAGCTCAACAGAAAAACAGTCCTGAGGTCCAGGCTGGCACGGTGATGTCACAGGTGGGTTAGCCTTTACTCTGTGATGCATCCCAGCTTCCGAACCCATGTTCAGCTGCATGGAATACCAAGTAGACTTCTGTCCCCATAGAGGGACTGTTGTGACCCCCAAGAGCTGAAGCTTGATTCATATAGAAATTAAGAAAATACACTGACTGCCTTCCTGCTGGACACTCATCACCCAGTCCATACTGACCCTGCCTGGTCCCCTGAGGTGTCTTCTGTTTAGCAGACTCCACTCGTAATTTTACCCATGGAATTCCTCACAAGTGGCTCTTGTAGACTTGCGGGAAATGAAGCCAGATGACAACTCAGACTCCTACATTCTCCTTAAAACTGCCACATAGCAAAGCAGGACCCTTCTCTACCTGTTAATGAGCCTCTTAAAATTGGACATTTAACACTAGAGAGATAACACATACTGTTCCTCCAAAGGACTTGAGTTCAATCCATGTCAGGTGGGTTGTCTTAGCTATGGTTTCATTGCTGTGAAGAGACACCATTTAATCGAGGCTCGCTTACAGTTTCAGACCTTCCACTAACATCATGGCAGGAAGCATGGCAGTGTCCAGGCAGACACAAAGCTGAGAGTTCTGCATCTTGACACAATAACAGCTAGGAAAGCCTGACTCTGACCAGACTTGAACATATCTATGAGACCTCATAGGCCTCCACCACAGTGAGACACTTCTCCAACCTGGCCACACTTCCTAACAGTACCACTCCCTATGGGCCAAGCATATTCAAACTACCAGATGTGGTCTCTGGACAACCATGTACACACATATAGGTCTGGGTGCTAGGAACTAAACTCAGGTCCTCTGCAAGAGCAGCAAGTGCTCTTAACTACTGAGCCACCTCTACAGCCCCTATTTTAACTTGCACACTGTTGTGTATTTATGATTTTTCCCCAATCTTCTCCCCTTGCTCCCAGTACATCTTATTCTGGTGACACTAACTTCACTAGCTACAGAAAGGGAATGAGTGTCAGGTTGTATCTCTTTTTAGAGCAATAAACTGACGTGCAGACTTTATGCTAGGTACCAAAAGGTGAGGAATGCTCATTTAATCACTGTGTTCTTACAAAGCAGATGTAATGGCTTTCAAGCCAAATCCTGAGAGCCAATATAGTAACCAAAGGCATTCTCAGAACAAGGGCTTAAAAGAAAGATACTTTTAAGTGTGTGTGTAGTTGCAGTCCACATAGGCAAGGGTGTGCCATAGAAGCCAAAGGGGCAGCTTTTAGGAGTCTGTACTCTCCTTCCACCCTGGGTTCCAGAGTCAAATCCAGGTCAGGCCTGCACAGCAAGCATGATTACCTGTTGAACCATTCACCAGTCCCAGGATCAAGACTTCTTTGATGCTTCTATTTCTTCCCACAATGCAGCTTCAATTTTTGAAGTGTCATACTCTCTCATCATATCAAACTCAATCCATGGCTTGTTCCACTTCTGGGCTTCTTTCATTTGCTCTTCAGTTAAAGCAAGATCGAATCTGATTCCTTTAATGTTGAACTTCGGACGTTCCCAGCGTTTGGACCACGGCTTTGGCTTCATTTTAACTTTCAGCTAAGTAAAACAAAAACAGGAATTGTGGGCTGGTAAGATGCACACAACAGTTCCCCCCAGGTCTTCTGCAGGTGCTTCTTTCTTACTTGCGCCTGAGCAAATGGACCATCTACCTTGTTAACAGGCACTTCCTGGCAGGACTCATATGGGACGGGCTTCATATTGACGTCAAAGGTGCTGTACTCAGGAAGGGCGTCACGTAAGTACAGCAGGTCGTCATCCAGCCGCTTTTCTAACTTCACCACTTGGATCTCCTGGATTCGAGGATTATACAGTTCAAAGCAAATCTCCACACCTAAAAAGGGAACAGGCTTCTTCAAGTCACGGACTTATCACTTAAGTCCAGATTCCTGTAATACTTTACTGTACAGTATAAAGCTAGCAAGTGGGAATTGAACAAACACATGTAAATTTTAAAGATCAAGATTATTAAAGCAAAACAAACTAAATCCCATTTAAGATGAAAAGTGAAAAATTGAATGATGTGATGTAAATACATTATCCCACCTCTTCAACATACATTACCCTCGGAAGTGAAAGCCTCGATTAAAGAACTATATAGATCAGACTGGCCTATGGGGATGTCTGTGGGGCCAGTTGATATACAAAGGCCTAGTCCCTTGTGGGAGGTACCATCCCAGGACAGGTGGTCCTAGGCTGTATGAACAGTTGGCTGACAAAGAGCCCACGAATGAGCTAGCAAGCAGCATTCGCCATGGTTTCTGTCTCTCTTGATACTGACCTGAAGATGTGTAAGCTGAAATAAACTCTTAACTTCACTGGCTACAGAGAGGGAATGGCTGTCAGGTGATTTGTCTTTTTAGAGCAATAGACTGATGTGCAGACTCTCCCTCAGTTGCTTTTGGATATAGTGTTTCATCACAACAACAAAGATTACACTAGTATGCCAGGGAAAGGCCCTCTTGGCACAAACAGTAACTTGGTAAGCAAGGCACTGTTTTGAATGTGACCCTCCAAAATCCACCTTGAAGATCTGCTCTCAGGATAGCAGTTTCTCTGAAGATAAATCACCACTGGTAAGAACCCTGAAGTGCACGTAAGTGTTCCCATAATTCAATTCTTCTTTCTAGAACTTTACCATTTGTGTTAGTCATGGCATGTGTGACTGCTTCTGACACCATAACCCAGCAGTAACTGTGTCATAACATAAAGAAAATAGGGACCTTCATTTTAGGAGTCTAACTCCTAAGGACACCATCCTGTCTGTCCCAGTGGACCTCGGGGGTATTTGCACTCTAAAAGATGATCCTGCTAACTGTGAAGGCTCACATCTCTAATCCTCTAATCCTGGTGCTCAGGAGGCAGAGACTGGAGGATACTTCAAGTTTGAGGTCAACTAGCTCTATATAGCAAGTTTCTGGCCATCCACGGCCTATATGGAAGATCCTGTTTAAAAAACACTACTAACAGGAACAATAGGAATCTCTCCTCACTACTTTATACACTGTCTCCACACTTGAAGATGCCATGTTTGTTTAGGCAAGTTCTCACTATGTAGTCCAACCTGGTTTTAAACTAAAAAATCTTTCTGCCTCAGCATATCCATGTGCTAGGATAACAGATATATGTCACCATGCCCAGCCCAGTCTAGTATGTGTTGCCCATGTAATAAAAGAACCCCTCAAAAGAAAGTAGGCTAACCCCACATCCCCACCAAAGCACATTAAACAGTGAATACAAATCTGTATCCACTGCAAAACACACATTATCTCTTGGGGACAACCCAGTTTCACTCTCTGGATGCTCAAGAAGAAACGTACCCTGTCCTTCAATCGTGTTCCTGAGGGTGAAAGTAGCCCCAAGCCCATTTCCTGATCTTTTGATGCAAATCCCCAGGAACTGGCTGGTTTTTCCACTGGCATAGGGGTCGGCTGTGGTGACACGCAGTATGCTTCCTACAGAGTCAGAAGAGAAGCAAGGTCTGACACAGATGCCGGAATGAACAAATAAGGTTTATAACTTTGTATGTCAGAAATAAATAACAGCAAAACCCAGACATCTGAAGAATAATCTTTATGTAATGAAAACTAGACCCCAACACCTATAGATGGACACCCTGCTGTTACTCACCGACATAGAACTCTGGAATGGGAAGCACCTTTCTCCTGCCTAGCATATCTTTCCTTTCTATCTGAAATTTCAGAGGGTTTATTCTCCCCCTTGGAGGGATGAATTCAGGACTCAGGAACCTAAAAAAAAATTAAAAATGAAAGGTGATTTGGGCCAATATAAGAAAAAGACGGGTATAATGTACATGTATTTCATTCTTTCAATAAGGAATGAAATGTTATTTCTAAAACCATGGTTTCCTTAACCACTGTTAATCCTCATGAAAACTGCCAGCACTTCAGAGTACTCACCAGGCATTGTGTTTAAATGGTTATCAAACATCTAGGTAGCCCTTAAGGTCTGGACCTTATTGTCCAAGAAGGCATATGTGCTAAGGGCTTAGCTGTCATCCTGAGCAGCCAACTGGGCTTAGGAAGCTTTAAAGAGTTTCATCCCAGAAGAGGAAACATGTCACTGGGCATCTACCCTGGAAGGCAAGACAGAGACCCCACCCCTTCTGTTTCTCCTTTTGCTTTACCTAGCTGATGCTTCCTGCCATGTTGTACTGTGTCACTGCAGGGCCCAAGTGACAGGGCCAGGACCAAGCAAAATTAACTACAACTATCCAAACCCTGAGCCAAACTAAATTGTTCTCTTTAAGCTGGTTGTCTCTTGTGTTTGTCACAGCGCAGGCAAGTTAACCGGTAGCAGCGTAAGTTACAGTTAGATGTTTTATTGTCATCTTACTTAAGAAAACAAAGCAAAATTGGAGCTTAAATTGGATGATGAACCGCTGACACACAATACTACTATCAGTTACAATTTGTCACAGTTTAAACGCTGCATTTCTCTCAGTCTGCAAAGCCTATGAACACAGGTCTCCCACTGAGCTATAAATATGGAGAAAATACATACAAATCACCAATTGCAAACTGACTTTAAAGGAAACCTTCCACCAAGCATGGTGGTACCCACCTTTGATCCTAATACTTAGAAAGCAAAAGCAGGCACATCTGAGTTCAAGGCCACTCTGATATACACGGTGAAACACACAGCCACATATACATAATTATTGTGTATTGAGGTTGGGGTGCACACCATAACATTCACGTAGGGATTTGAAGGCAAATTTTGGAGTAGGGTCTCTGCTTCCTTTCTGGGTTCTAGGGATGGATTTGGGTGGACAGGTTTGCACAAGAGACATATTTACTACTGGACCACCCTGCTGGTCCACACTGTTTTGTGCATCAATTCATGGCCCGTTTTTCCTCAGAGACTAAAAAAGAGCTAACCTCCCCAAATCCTTCCTCCTGGATAGAATCTGTTGGCCAACTCTCACCATGGTGGATTTTAGGACAAACAGAACTGAGGAAAGGTCGTCCAAGCCTGCGTCCTTCAGGAACTAGAGAGGGGCAGACGCGGAACCCGATTTCGTGCAGCCCAGCTACAAAGCAGCTAGCAAAGTGTGCGCACGCCCATGCAGCAAGAGCTGCTGGCGCCCATGCACTCGCACGCGGCCTGGCCGCCTCACCTTCTCTCTTCCTCCGGGGCTCGGCGCTCGTCCACGATGACAGGTTTCGGCGGCGGCTTGAACCCACCGGGCTCGTAAGGCCCGGTGCTCTGAAACCGGGTTGGGACCGTGCGGACACGGCAGATACTAGCCGCGAGAGCAGCAAGCCGTGGCTTGGCCATTCGGAGGCTCCGGGCCAGGTACAAGGATGTCCTATAACTTTCTGCCATGGAGGCCGCCATTTCTACATCTGCAAGAAGGACTACAACTCCCAGAAGTCAGTGATACAAGGTGTGGCCGGACGGTGGCTCCTATGGGACTAAACTTGCTTCCCTGTGGACCACCGCTAGTTTGAAGGAATTATATTTGCAAATATATATAATTACCCTCTTCTCCATAATTTGCAAAGTTACAATCCTCCACAGGGCTGGCAAGTTTGTACATTTCACTAAGTACTGTGATCTCATTTGCATTTAGTGAGTGAATGTAGTGTGTGTGTGTCTGTCTGTCTGCCTGCATGTCTGTCTGTCTGTCTGTCTGTCTGTCTGTCTGTGTCTGTGTGTCTGTGAGTGTGAATGTGATTGCAGGTGCCCATGGAGGCCTTATAATCCCCTGGAGCTGGAGTTACAGGCAGTGGCAAGGTACCCCATGTCGGTGCTGGAAATTGAACCTGGGTCCTCTGAAAGATTAAGTATTCCTAACTGCAGGTCCACCTCTCCAGCCTCCTCGGTTCCACCTTTTATTTTCTTGTGCCTACATGAAAAACACAACTGTCACCTCAAAGGGGAAAAGAGACAGTTTATTCTAGAGTCAAGTATGAATGACTATGGCTCAGGACACAAGTTTTAGTCACCACAAATCCATGTTCCAATAGAGTAACGATTCCATGGCGTTTTCATAGTATCAGAACAAAGAAAGCCGTTCCTTAAATACATTGGCAGGCACACCAATTTAGGTATGCTATATCAAAGTGGAGAAACCTCTGCTATATGCCTCAGTTGTGCTGATGGCATTCTTAGCCTTCAGGTTGATGGAAGTGAGGAGGTTGCTGAATGAATTTGCTTAATAGTTACAAGACTGTTAGTTCACAAGCAGGTTGGTAATAAATTGCCACTTGAGGGACTGATGATCCAAGGTAGTTTGGCTCTGGATCTGCAGCATCACAGTGTCTCAAGTCACTGAAGTTTTCATTAGCTAATCAGCCTTATAGAATGTTGCTTCTTTTAGGAAAGTATGGGTTGCCTCTTGTATAATTATCATATTGATATTTAGTTCCTTTATTATGAATTCCATGGAGAGCAATGAGTATCTTCTTTTGCTTAAATTCTGTCTTACTACCCAGCCCGACCTGGCTCTCACAAACTCCAAACAGAATAACAAATGCTAGCTGTTTTGTCAACCTGACGCAAGTTAGAGTCATCAAAGAGGAGGGTACCCCAACTGAGAAAATGTCTCTATAAGTTAGGTCAGTAGGAAGGCCTGTAGGACAGTTTCTTAATTAGTAATTGATGGGGGAGGGCCCAGCCCATTGTGGGTGATGCCATCCTTGGACTGGTGGTTCTGGGTTCTATAAGAAAGCAGGCTGAGCAAACCATGAGGAGCAAGCCAGTTAACAACATCCCATAGCCTTGCATCAGCTCCTACCTCCATGTTCCTTCCTTGTTTGAGTTTCTGTTCTGACTTCCTTCTGTGATGTCAAGTGCTATGGAAGTGTAAAACAAATGCAGCCTTTCTTCCTCAACGTGCTTTAGTTATGACGTCTCATTTCATCAATAGAAACCTTAACTAGGACAAAACATAAAGAAGAAATTCATCATTCTTAACAAATAGCCCCCTCAGAATCCCTGAGCTCACTGAGAACATTCCCTTTAGAGGAACTAAAATTTAGTTTGCCTCAGGCAATTGGGAGGCATACAAGCTAAAAAAGGGGTGCATTTCAAATTCCAAGCACCCACACCAGGTGGCTTCCAGCTGCTTGTAGCTCCAGGTCCAGGGGAGTTAAGGTACACTGGGTGTCCTTGAGCACCAGTACATATGTTGTGCACATAGACTCCTGCATGTGCGCGCACACACACACACACACACACACGCACACACACACACAGATAAAAATTATTTGATAAAAATTAAAGAATTTGAGGGCAGATGTGGGCTGGAGATGAGGCTGAATGGTTCAGCACATGTCTGACACATACAAAGACTGTGGATTCCAGTACGTCATCACCAATACCAAAAAGAAAAAGAAGGAAGAAAAGAAGGAAGGGAGGGAAGGCAGGCAGGCTGGCTGGCTGGTTCATACTCTCAGAGATGGTGAGTTGCTAGAACTACTTAATACCTGTACAGTGTAATTACCAGTTGCCCCGATTGGATTAACTCAACATAAACATACAGAACTCATTCATCTTAGGCACTCTCTTGGTCCACTTGTCCCAGTCTCTCTCTCTTGATCCCTCACCCCTCCTCTCGGGGCCTGGTTCAGTCTGCTGACCTTGTTCAGCCTGGACTCTTTCAGATTCCTCTGGCTGTGCTCTCCCTCACGTCAACAATAAACCTCAACTATACCTAGAAGCGTCATGTCCTCATTTTCTGTTCGCTTCTCACGTTGTATTATTGTGGCCTCAGGAGTTTTGTCTGCTTTAACTTGTGATTAAATCTCCCACATTCACAATGGCATCAGAAGCTTGGTAAAATGTCCAAAAAAGTTAAGGTGATAATTAGTTAATGTGTGGGTCAGAGTCAATTCTTTGTTTCTAGTTTGTGGAGGTGAGATGGAAACATACAACGTTTATGTATTTATTTAAAGGCTACAATGAAGATAGTTCTAGTAGCACATACCTTTAATCCAATTATTTGTGAGCCAGAGGCAAGCATAGCTCTGGGAGTTCCAGGCCTGCTGAGACTACATAGTGAAACCTTGTCTCACAAAACTTAGGGGTAGAGGAGTCCAAGATGAGAAATGGCTCAGAGATTAAGAGCACTTATTGCTCTTGCAGGAGAATCGGGTTCAGTTCCCATAATCCCTGTCAAGGGGCTTACAACTGCCTGCAACTACTGCCCCAGGGGATCTAACATCTTCTTCTGGCCTCTGTGGGCATCCACACACATGGACTTATGCATATACAGAGCCACATAAATAAAAAGAAAGTAAATCTTTATAGAAAGATTAAAAAAATTATGAAAAGAAATTATGAGCTTATTTGTGATGGTTACTCTTGATTGTTGTTTTAACTAAAACTTCAGTCAACTGAGAGACACACCTCTAGCTGGACCTGTACTTCTAGGAAGGATTAATTTCAAGGAGAAGCCCCTCCCCAAGAGTAGGCAGACTCTCTCTCTCTCTCTCTCTCTCTCTCTCTCTCTCTCTCTCT